AATCAATTAACAAACGGAGACGTAACAGTATACAGTAGATTACAGAACCGATACAAGCCAGAGGATGTAAAACTTAGAATATACAGCAGATTAGAGATTCGATACAAGCTAGAGGATGTGAGGCTTAGAGTACACAGTAGATTACAGAACCGATAGAAGCTAAATGATGTGAGGCTTTGAATACACAGTAGATTAGATATTCGATACAAGCTAGAAGATGTGAGGCTTAGAGTACACAGTAGATTACACAATCGATACAATCTAGAGGATGTGAGGCTTAAAGTACATAGTATATTGCAGAATCGATACAAGCTACAGGATGTGAAGTTTTGGATATACTATAATTTACACAATAGATATAAGTAGCGTGAATGAGGTTTTTGAGTACATAGTAGATATTAACTGATATAAACAATCGGAAGCGACTTTTCGGTACACGGTCAATAATGCGACTGATACTAAAAAGAAGAACGAACTCTTCAGCCCACAGTAGATCATTGAAGAGATTCAAGTTAGAGATTTTGTTTTGTACACAGTAAATTACAAAAATCTGTACAAATTAGGGGAAGTAGTGTTTGAATACATATTAGAATACACAACCAATAAGAGACAGGGGAAATGGGTTTTGAGTACAAAGAAGATTACAAAAATGACATAAGCTAGTGGAAGTAAATATGTTATATACTTTCAACTGTACTTTATAATCTGCCATTCATGCCATTATTTAAAAAAATATGTTTATATGAGAAAGAAACGTTTGAAATAATATTTTCTTCAAAACGTCATATTCTTCTTAGTTTTATATATTATAATTTCTTGAGTGTCAGCTGTGTTTAAGTTTTTATATATTATAATTTCTTGAGTGTAAGCTGTATCTAAATTTTATATAATACAATTTCTTGAGTTAAGCTGTATCTAAAGTTTTACATAATATAGTTTTTGAGTGTATGCTGTATCTTAGTTTTTGAAAGTGAGTATATCACATATTCATCGTTACAATATGACATTGTTTTGAATTTTAAAAGATTCTTCTAAAACTGTAATATTTATATTAAATTCGCTCTAATATCATATAATATAATATTCAGTAGACAGAAATGTTAAATATCTCATAATTTAAACCAAGATATGGGATGGTGTATGATTCAAAAGCTACTTCCTTATAGTACACACACACACACGTACTAAAACTCAGTGCATAAACGTCAGTGCTTCTCAACTGTGGTTTCGCGGTTCTGCGGAATGCATGAGTTCCACACATTCTTCACGTAATAGCAATCCCACTACATCATATTTATTTATTAGTATAGCTGGTTTCACAATGACACAACATAACAAATCACTGCATTGTTTTAAATTAATGAGCGAGACTAGGTAGAAACAACTGCTGGTATTGAAGTAATGGTTTTTGTAATGAATGCTATGAATAGTTTTGTGACGCAAATTTGATGCCGGAAGATTCAAAACGGTTGAGAACCACCGATATGCATTGTATACAGTTTATTGTACGACCTTGGTGCCATCTCTTCGTAACTAAACAAAACAAAATGTGTCGAAACTAGTTTCTTTAAGTATCAATACTTCAAAGAGTTTGTTCTACTTATTTGGGTTTTTCACTAAGTAGAACGTTTGTCAAAGTAGCCAAATTTCTTATGTTCAGTGATGTCAACTACATCTTTTTAATGATGTTTTCTTTGTACGTTTTTGTGTTATATTCTAGAGTTAAAACAAATTGTATTCTACATTTACGCTAGTAATGTGCAAACTGACGTATAAAACTAAGTGTATATAGAAAGGTTGTCTGTTTGCTTTTGGCTTAAGCTGCACATAATGGGCCATC